ATAAGAAAAATTTTATTATGTATTTAAAAGTTCATATTAATATATTAAAAAACATATTTATAAAAAGACTAACAAAGTTTTTTACAAGTAAAATTTATATAAAATATACATCAAATATTTCAAATGATAACTACAAAAAAAATTCAAATAAATTATTTTAAAATATAAATAAATATCATTAAAATTTAAGACACATCAATAATTTAGAAGTCTTTAAATTTATTACGACTCCTCTCCGTTTGCACTTTTAAATTAGTAGCGCTCCTAGAAACTCCATGAAACAACTCAAAAGTATCAAATTCCTCATTTCTTTCTCGTTTAATCTAACAGTAATTCCTTTTAATAGATTTTCATATTTTTGTGATCTCAATATATGTACAAGCCAAAAAAAATCTCTACCACAACGACTCAGACCCACCAAATAGATTTTAAATGCACAGCCATAGGCTCCAAGCAATAATCACGTCCCACTTAATTTAAGTGATTTTATGATTTTTTTTTTCTATTGGCAAGGGGATATATATAATCATATCATCAAAAAGTTAAAAAATACACTCGATATAAAATTAAAGATATTTAAAAATAATTCAATTATCTTTTAGATATAAAGATTATAAGTGCGGGCTACAGCAGGGTGTCTAGGCCGACATGACATGCGAAAGCACCAAGACCAAAGCTTCTGAACAAGTACGTGAGTGACTGCAGAATCTATCAGCAATAGTTCTTGTTATTTCTATATTAGTTACCACAAATCCTATCATTTATATCCTCTTATATTATATAGAGATATAAATTGAAGACAAAAATAACTAGCTGCAGCCTAGGTCTTGACAAATGTGTCCCTTTGGGTTGACAAATGTTTATATATTCGTACCTTGCATGGGACCATTTATTTATGAGATTGACATGAACTTGTGGATTCTCATTGATGAGTGTATCTAATACACTCTCTCCTTATTTATTTATAGTAATGAGTCTTTACATTATTTGAATTCATAAGTGAGAAAATGTGTTGTAAATTTTTTAATTTAACTATTTTTTATATTGATATTTAGAAACATGTGCACCCATAATTTTGAGAAACAACAAATTTACTCACACCTTGGGTAAATAAAACTCGATGTTCTTTGCATCCTTTTATCTTGTTTATACTTAATTCTTCTTGTAATTTAGATAATATCATATAACATCCGTATCTTCTAAAAAGGATTATATCATATACGTATAAATAGATTACTAAAATTATTTCCTCCATTCATAAAACAACAAAACCGAACCCACTTGCATGACTTTTTTTTTGAAAAATTACAAAAATTAAAAACTCAATAACCCATAAATTTATCATTATTCTTTGTATTTCTCATCAAATTCTTTGCAAGCTCAACTCTTGAATTATCATTTTTTAGCCATATTAATCTTTTGTTCCTTTGTTATGGTTGGACTTCATATTCACCGTTGTAACTTTTGGTGGTAGTATTTTCTTATATTGTAAATAAAATCCTTCTCAGATTTCAGTAAATAAAGCCC